TACTTTCTTATAAACTTTGGTTCTTAGCTAACTCCTCCAGGAAAGTGATGGAAAATGATGGAAGAAAGTTGGTAATAAAAAAATGTGAAGAATATGGTTATAAAGTTGGTTTGAAAATTTTGATAAAAAGTTTTTACATCACATTAAGGTCAAACGTCCAATTGAAAAATACTTTAAAATTACCATCACACAATATAAAAAGATCGACATTTTAAGTCACATTCGTGATAATTATGAAATTCCACTATGCTGTCAAACGTCCAATTGAAAAGTACTTTAAAATTATCATTACACAATATAAAAAAGATCGACATTTTAAGTCACTTTTGTGATAATTATGAAATTCCACTATGCTAATACAGTCAGGTATTTTACTCGATATGGAAATACGTACTAAATACTGTAATGATCGACGTTATGAAAAATTCTAGAAGAAATTTTGATTGGCTAAATTCAGCCGGGGATAATGCCCTGTAATGATTGACGTCATGAAAAGAGATTAATACCTGACTGTAATAATAATAATAATAAATAAATTCCAAGATGTTCCATTTTGGTTAGATTTCAAAGCCTAGTGTTCCAAACGGGTTGGGTCAGATCAGGTCAGGTACCTGGGTCAGATATAAAAAAATTTTCAAGTATCAATTAATATATGTAATTATTTTTGCTCATTTGAATTTAAAAAAAAAAAAAAAAAATATGGTAGAAATAGATTGATCACTTGACTAAATCAGGCAAGCTTTTTGATGTAATTAATAAATAATTGTCAGTCACAATCAAAAGTTGAAATTTTGGAATTGAGTCAAATCCAAATTGATTTTGACAACATGTATAGTCCAAATTCTCAAAAATGGGATTAGATTTAGATGTACACTATATTAAATTTGTATATAATTAATAATTTATTTCTTTTGAAAAAATAAATTTTAATATGTGTATATTAATTATGATTTTATAATTTGCTTTTTAATAAGTTATTTTTTTCAATAATTTCCAATGCTATTAAACTTATAGGTTTAAACATTCTAGCATAATTTTGTGCTTCACTAGAACTAGCTTGTTTATGTGCAATACATGCAGCAATACCTTGTGTGATTACTGCCAACTTTGAAAATAAATAAATTTAGAATATAAATATAATATGTAAATATTAGAAAAATAAAACCTAACTTACTCTAAAAAATGAAAACACTATGGCATACTCAAAGTTTGGTATTGGAAATTTTCTTTTTGTTTTAATACAATATTCATATATTAATTCATCTGCTGAAGGGATAAGTAAATTAGGTGCATCCTTTAATCCAATTAAAGGTTTTACAGCATTTTCAGATACATAAAACTGCATCAATAAATTTGCTAAGTCTGATAATGGGTGACCAATTGTGGAAAGTTCCCAATCTAATATTCCAATAACATGTGATTCTGTTGGATGAAAAACCTATATCATATAAAATCAAGTGAATCAAATTCATATATAATATATATATATATACATATAAGATATAGTTTTGTAAAATTACAATATTATCCATCTTAAAAAATAAAAATAAAAAGAAAAATGTTAATATGATGATTAAATAATATATTTATTTGCTTATTTGATAATTTGTGCCTTAAAGTCACCATGTAAAATTGTTGCTTCATCAGGAATTTCATTATTTTTAAACCACTTGATCATTTCATCAAGTCCTGGAAGAGCACCCACTTCATTTCCATCTTCATCTACCACAGCAGCTTGAGCTTTTGATACTTTGAGTAGTGAACGAACTTGTCTAGAATAAATTCAGATGACTTTCCATAATCATCTAGTCCTATTGCTTTATAATCAACTGAATGTAATTTAGCAAGTGTGTTGACCAAAGAAAACCAACTATAAATAAAAAAATAAATATTTGAAGTTTTTTGAATTATAAATAGTAATGATAAAATAAACAAAAAAAAATTTTACCAGTTCTTTCTTTCATTTGGAGAAAGTGATAAAAGTCTTACATCCTCAAAAATCTTACCATTTAAAAATTCCATTACCTATCAATTATTAATATACATGTATAAGCAATTTATTAAATTAATTTATCGAATATAAAAAAATATTATTACATAGAATGGTGTCCCAATTATTTCATTATCTTTGCAAAGAAGATAAACCTTAGGCACTGGTACATCGGTATACTTTCCTAAAGCATCAAGAATATGAAACTCGCGTTCAACAGCATGTGCAGTAGTTGATAATAGTTTTCCTGGTGGTTTTTTTCGTAGTACATATCGTTTTTGACTAAATATTTCATATTCATTATTAATATATACTATTTGTTACAAAAAAAAAATCACTTGTTATAAGCACACACACACATATATAATATCATATAATCTTACTTTGCATCAATTAGGAGATATGTGGGGTTGCTTTGACCAAATTTGAATTGTTGGGTTTCTATTGGTAACTTAATTTCAGGAATTCTTGAAGCTAAATAAGATGTCAAATTGGGAATATCTATTTCTTGTCTATATTGTTTAGATACAATTTGAAGAATTAACAAACAAACAAATAACATACATGTTATTAAATTATTGTTTAAAGTCACCTGATTATAGTTGTTGCTTGGGCATTATTTAGTTTTGACATTTTTATCTGATATGATCATTGAAAAAAAAATGATTTTTTAATCAGAAATAAAAAAAAATTATTTTTTACTCAATGTCAAATGCAAAAGGAATGGCAAGAAATACCTACAAGATTAATAATGAGATTGCCAAATTCAATAAAGGGAAGCAATAAATTTGATAAATTAATAGAAAAAGAAAAAAAGAATCAAATTATGAAAAATTGGGAAGAAAAAGTAAAAAAAGTGAAGACAAACAAAAAATCAATAAAAATAAAATCATATATTTATTAATAATAATTTTACTGGTATATATTTACTCTTTAATTCATTAATTAAACTGAATAAGATATCATTTGTTTATAATAATGATGATAATAACAACAATAAATAACTAGATATTAAAGATAAATTGCCAACAATTCAACAAAAAATCAAACAACCTCATATACTTAAAGTTACAATAATAGGAACAGCCAATTCAGGAAAATCTGCTTTGATAATTGGTGATAATGTAAATATTATCATAGTGATAATTGATGTTTGATGATATATTATATAAATTATATTTAGATTTTTTTAGATACTCCCAGGTGTAATATTGACAACAAGATCAACATAAACATCACCATTAACCAAATATAAACAAAGATATAATTGTGAATTGATTAATTCTTCATGGAATACAATAGATGAAGTTGATTGTGGTAATTATATATAGTATGGTGATATGATTATATTATAATTTTATAATGATATTAGTGATTCATACATTAAAAATAACTGAATACAGTATTATAGTGAACAATTTATTATTGAGAAATTAAAAACTATGAAAAAACCAATTATTTTAATATTTAGCAAGGTAAAATAATATTTAGGAATGTTATATATTATATATTTACTTGTATATTTAAATATTTTTCTTATAGATTGATTGAAAAAAATTCAGAAATAAGAATTTAGAACTCTTAACCAAATACCCATTTCTACAAAACTGTCCAACTATTTCAATATCTGCTTTATGTAATATTAAGTTAAATATGTTAAAAGTAAGTAATCAATATTTCTTTTTATATTTGGGGCATACTGCAACAAAACCAGACAAAGTGAACATTGGTATTTCCAGTATTTCAGGGATCAAAATTTAGTCATTTGAAATGTGATTATAATTACCAGTTTTATAATATCCTATTTGTTATCCTCTTAATATCAGGTGATATATAGAATCACCTCTATATAAAATAGTTAATATGAACTCATTTACATTAGGTCTACTATGGAACCCAAGAATTACAGCATTATTAGAAGTATTTTAAGGAAAGAGCAAGGAGAAAAAATTGCACCTTATGAATAATACCAAGTTCTTTGGGAATGTCTAGATAAAGAAAAAATCACTTATGAAATTTATCAAGAAGTCAGATAACTAAATTTGCTTCTTATTCTCCAGCTTATTGAGCTGTCAAATCAAGTCTGTATTTAAGAGGAGGCTAACCAATATTTCTAACAATTTTTGAAAAAAAAATTTTTTTTTGTACCTAATACTAATGGATGTAAAGATAACTTTATTAAAGAAATTAGCCATTTGCATAGTTCCACCAGTGGTTAGATGCAATTACTTTATGAACATTTCCATTTTTATGTCATTAAGCAGCAAATGCATAAACTAGATGTCTTAGTAAAAATGTTGTGCTTCAGTAGGGAGAGATTCAGTATGGTATAACTCTTGCAGAACATATGGTATGGTATGGTATAGCCCATATTTTTCCATACCAAGTCACGCAAAATTTTATTCTAAATCCTTTTTTTGGTGGGTGTGAAGGGAAGTATGTTTGATTTAAGCATTGGTATACAACCTTTTTATTACACTTATACAATACCATACTGTATGTTTTGCAAGAGTTATACCATACTGAATGCCCATATACTCGTAGTGCTTTGAACTAGAAACTAAAGAGGTTGAATCATTTAACATTTCTGTCAGTTGTCAATAAGATGTCACTGAGATACACAACTCAGTGTACAAATCTGTACTTCCACACAACCAAACCTTGTCCCAGATACTATTAATACATATTTCCACACTGGAAAAGTCCTGTGAACATACAACATAAATGACACCTGATTTCAGGTTGTGGGGTCTACCTATACCACTTCTAATATCCACAATTGCATGACGCTTAACACATTTCAGAATTGAACCATATAGCCCATCATCCTTCATCTTCCTTTGATGATTTTCCAGATCTTCACCATCTCAAACTAGCTCTATCATCCAATCATGTTTACCATCAACATAAAAGTCCACCCAGCCCTCTGAAGCAAAAACAGCACCAACATCTGGAGAGATATGTACATTTTTTGGAAGCAGTTGTCTTGCTGCATGGTAAAACTCCATTTGCCATGCCCTCTCCAGCAGTTGACCATCATTACCCACACAAAGGGTTTTCTTGAAAGTCTCTGGGCTCATTAATTCAAACACCTTCTTGATAAAATCTTCAAAAGGATATGGTAAAGTGTGTACATGGGTTCTAGATCCAAGATGTTCCTGAAGATAAGCTACATGGACTAGTGGTGATGTGAAGTCAAGTTTCCTGTTTCTCAAATAATATTCTTGATGGAAGTCTGAAAGAACATTTGTTTTGATCAGATGGTCTGCAACTGCACTGTGAATGTCAATACCACCAGGTTGGATCAAGACTTTGTCAATAAGTTGTCATTCTTCTTCAGATGTCACTATGACTTCTTGACATGCATGTGTTCACTACAATAATAATGGAGTTAAGATCTCTATAATCACAAACTATTAATTTTCAATCATTGCTCACCTTAACACCTTGATAGCAATCATCTGTTTGAAAAAATTTGAATATTTTCTCAAATGTCAATGGTTCCACACCCTGCTTTAGCTGCTGTTGAAATTGTAAAACAATATCATCCAGGACAAAAGAAACAAGCCCAGGATGGCACTTGGTTTCTTCTTTCACATAGTTGGCAAGTCAAGGGACATCTCCTTCAGGAAGCAGTTTCAGATTGGAGTGACAAAAAAATCAAAGAAATTTGCATACTCTTGTTCAGAATACTGAACATCTTCAAAATTCCAAGTATTAATTTCATCTAAGTCAAAAGGAGATATAGTTTTAAGATGGCCTGGTCCACTATATGCTCCCCAATATCCATAGGATGCAAAAGCAACAATGTGGAGACCACCACCCTGTAGAACTCTCTTGACAGTGTCCCAAAACTTGTCACCACCAAATAGACAGGCTGATGCACCTTCTGGTTTGTATAACACCTGAATTTCATCTATGATCAGTATTGTTTGTACTTTGTCACACTCACAGACAAAGGTATCTCATGACAAGCCTCCCATATAATCCTTGAATTGCTGTGCAAAATCCCAGCCTGATCCCTCCCTCCTCAATCATACAAGTGACATCCAAAATATACATAGTTCATTATGTGTATTGAGTAAATAGTTCTCATAGAGTTGTGCAAGTGATGTCTTTCCAGACATTGGGGGTGAGCACACAAGCAAAAATCTTGCATTCTGAAGGTGACTGTGTAACTTTGTTACAGTTGCCAGCCTCTTGCAAGTCAAGTTACTATTCCCATCAACACCTTCAAAGTTTGTAAATGCTTCCTCCCAATAAGTTGTGCCACCAATTCCTCCTATGAGAGATAGTTTAGATGGAATGATTTACCTAATCTTGGGTATAACCAAACTGTTCCCTTAATCTCTGTATGCAGCCTGGATCAGAGGGAGACACTGAGCCTAATGCAGGAATAATATAACAAGAGTAAGTAAATAACTAAGTTTAGAGAATGGAAAATTTGAAACTTGCCTTATTAAGTAAAATAGATAGGAGGCAATAGTTGTTTTTTTTTAAAAAAAAAAAACCAATAAGTTATTGATAAAGCAAAAAATAAATTAAAAAGCAAATGTTGTCAAAATCACAAAAAGGATTAAAAATGGAACAATGACAGAAGAAATCTTATAGTGATCAAAAAACAGAGAATTAATGTTACATTACTTCCAACTACTCCAACTACTTCATCATGCAAACAATACAATAAATTAAAAGAAATAAATGATATATGTTAACTTCTTATCAAAATGACTTTCCTTATATTGAGTATCAAACATTCTCTCATATGATGTTTCACTTACCAGATTCTTTTATATATATATATATATAAATAAAAAGAGAAAATAAATGAATGCATACATGATTAATAATAATGTATAAGATATGTGAAACTAAAGAAAAAAATCAATACTTTTTAAAAGTCACATTTCTTCTATTTTCATGATCACCAATGCAGGAATGCCTTTTTCTTCTAAAGATTTTATGTCAAACACCTTACAATCCTTTACATCTTTAAGTTGATTTTCAAGATTAATTTTGGCATCTTCAAAAAATTGCATTTCTATATAAATATAATTGAATAATAAAATATTAATCAAATATACAAACATAAACATATATGTAAATTAATTGATTTATACTACTCACCAATAAAGCCCTCTTGAGTCTTAACTAAAATTTTATCATTGTGATGTAAAAAACGTTCTTCATGTGGTTCCAAAAGTTTTTTATTAATAAAAGTTCTTTTATTTGAACCATTTTTTATAAATGATTCAAAACTTAAATCTTTAATGTTTGTTTTTCTCTAATGGGATTATAATGATAATATTATTATTATAGAAATTATAATGATTTCAATATTACATAAAATTGATTAATTAAGTTATTGTTACTTACAATTGAAATTGTGCAATGAGTATTTGCAATATAGAGTGGTTTATTAATCCTTAAATTGCATGTTTTGCCATGTCCAATTGTTATAGATTTTTGGAATTCTGTTATGCTAACTCTTTGGTTTTGATATGTAACAGATGAAATTGCTTTTGCTTCCATTTTAGCAATCTCAGCCTTATATTTTAGTATTTTTCTGTGTCTTATTTCAAGAGCAATATCATAGTGGCTGTTGCTGTTATTATCATCATTATTACGAACATCAGCGATTGTGCTTGAATGATTTCTTTTTAATTGGCGTGGTGTAGATGGATTTCTGACTAAACCGGTTAGTCTGAAAATGTTGGAACAAATTTTTCATTAGTAATAATGGTAGTGGCTATGGCAGTAATAGATTCAATTCAAGTAAATTGATTATCAATGATAACAGTAATGGTAATGGTAATAAAGATAATAATAACAATAGTGTCTATAATAATAATAAAAGAGAGGATTTAAGAAAAAGATCGTTTTAACTGGTCTCTGATGAAGCTTATTTAATTTATTTATTTTTATTTATTTATGATGTATGAATTATATTATTTTTAAAATTTATATATAGTGTAATAATAAATTAATTGGCATTTCCTTTTGTAAATACCAACTATTACATTTTTTAACTTACATTTCTTGCATAATAAATATCAATTCAATTGTCTAATTAAACAGCATGAGTTCCTTTTATATGAATTGAGATCCGTGGATATTGTTCGGCACATTATTTCCGATGAAATGTTTATAATAATCATGAGCATCTCCATCTATATAATGATTGTAATGAATTATTGTTAACAAATTTAAATCATTTATAATAATAATAATCCGAAAATAACCCCTATTAATTGAGCAACTACAAAAATTGTCACATATGTTTTATTTAAAAAGTAAATATTTCAAATATTTCAGCCTTACATCTATTCTTTCTATTAAGCTAATGTTATCATCATCTGTATGTTTATATAATCCTTATACTACTATATACTATATATCCACAAAATTTGATTAATACTATATTATATTGAAAATATAATTTAAATGAAAAGGTGACATGATAATGATAACAAAAGAAAATATTGTTTGAGCTACTAAACTAAAATAATAGTTGCAATAATTAAGTTATTTTTTGATACGATCAATTTTTTAAAATTTGTTCATTTTCTGTATTAATAACTAAAGATTTAATTTGCTTTTGTGCTTTAATTAGCTGTGCTAAGTTATATGTATATTTATCATTAGAATAATATATTGTTAATGATTGAATATTTTTACAAACTTTCGTTAATTTGTCAAAAAATTCACCACTACAAGAATTAGTATACTCTAATTTATAAAGATTTTAAAAGATATTATCAAATCTATGATGATTAGTTAATAAATTACAATCTAGACCATAAGTAATACTAAACTTTCTAATGCCTGCGAATGATCTAAAATAAATTCTACTAGTGTTAAAAATCAACCCCAAACATTTTCTTTATTTGTCGTTTCATTAACCTCCATTTTAATGAAATAGCATTATTTTTTCTTGATATTCCATTAATTGTAATTCATTACAATTAATCTTCTTACTAAATACATGATTTAGGAGAATGCTCAACTCTTCTTTTGACCATTTGGTATTCCAAGCAGTCGCAAACCTCCTTTCATCAAGGCTTTCTAATACACTATCATCATCATCATTACCATTACCATTACCATTCTCATTTACATTGTCATCATTGCTATTAGCATCATTAATAACATTACCATTATCATCATTACTGCCATTAATATCAATGTTATCTTCTTCATTTTCATTAACATCATTATTACTATTGCTGTCAACACTATCACTATTAACATTAACATTATCATCATCATTATTATCATAAACTTCTTCAATTGGTACTACTTCAATTTCTTCTTTCTCTTTCTCCATCTCTTCCACTTCTCCTCCCTCTTCTGAATCCTCCATCTCTTCTTCTTTTTCTTGAAAAATTTCCAATTCTTCCGAATTTTTCCCTCTTTTCAATTCTTTCTCTTCTTCCGATTCTTCCTCTTCCTTGAGTATATTTTTTTTTTAAAATGAATTAAATATGATACGATAAACTTTTATTATTAATAATAAACAATAATGAAGATACCTCATAAATAGCTTTTAATAATTCAAGCAGTTGCAATGGTTTCAATGGTGGCATACCCTCTTGTATATTGTCTTTGATGTCATCAAATAATGCATCCAAGTCAATACATTTACTAATATCGCTATAATAATTATTTCTATAATAATTTTTAGGGAGAGAAAAGAAAAATTATAATTAGTATGCATCACAACCATCATTCTTTTTAATAATAACTAGAATGACAAGTTGCAACAGCCACCATTTAACAATAAACACTTACCCGTTGGAATTGGCGAGCTGAGATCCTTTTCTTCTTTTTCCTAACAATATTGATTGCGACATTTTTTCTTAAATTAAAAGAAATTTTTTTTTATTAATGCCAATTAATCAAGGGGTAAATTATTATATTATACGCGTATAGGTTGTACAAGGAATATTAAAGAAAACGTGTTAATAGCTAACCAGAGGTAATTTGCATTGATATTTCTTATTGAAATCAAAACGCGGAGCAGATCTTGTAGTGACTTAGGTATTTACGAGATTCTTTATCTTGATAATAAATGATTGGTATTTTGCTTTTCGTAATTGCAAGATGTCAGGGCGATACGAGGAAAGGAAACATTTTTATATACGACATTTTCATAATTGTACACTTCACAGATGTCAAGACGCACACACTACCTTGAACACTTTACAGTCATTCTCACATGTTCCTCGTGTACATAAGGCTAATCTGACTTGCTTCCCCCGATGATACAATAATGCAACTGAATTCCAGGGGGGGGGGTAGCGTTGCCCTGGAGTTTATTAAAGTTGCATCATCGTCAAGGATATTTTCACTAATCTTTCCTCATAGCACCCAGACCAGAGAAGGCTGCTGATATGTTTAGGCAAAAAATTTCCTGCAACAATCCTACTTAAACACTAACTTTATGCTAGTGTGGCAATAACACAAACCAATAATCCATCACACAAGTGCCAACTCTCATCAACAATCAATGCTTATATGGTAACAGTCAAGCCTGGTCTGAGGGAAAGATAAGGCCTACTCTACAAAAGCCTTCCAACATGTTCAATTGTTTCACCTGTGGGAAAAAATTTCACAGTTATGAGGCGTGCTTAATTGCACCACGCTTGCATGTTTGTTATAGGAAAATTTTATTAAATCTGACACCTGTGATCAACGTCAGATTTATTATTCATGAGCAACCATAATTGATGATCAGGAAAAATAATTTATTTGTGAATCCCAAAGATCTGGGTAGACATGCATTATTAAAAGTTTCATTCATGCATGGCCTTGGTATTGTTACTACCTGGGTGATGCAATTGTTTGTTATGTCAATGATGATATCAAATATGTTGAATAATAATCACAACCATTGTAAATATTTGATGGATGGAGGCATTCACATACAAGGAAATGATTAAATAGCTAAGTCATGTTTGTTTTATTAAAGATGTATGATTAATTGTATTTCTTAGTATTTTTATCATATTGTCTAAAAGCCTATTAGTAGATATCAAAATTATCAGAAATTCTTTTAAATTAATCCTATTTTTTAATTAATTATTGGCTTAATTCAATAAACCAATAACTCTTTATATTGTAATTAAATTATTGGTTAAATATTTCTAAAGCTCTTTGTGCTAAAATAATATCATAATCTTGAGCAGTAGTTAAGTTTCTATTCAAATAAGGTTCACTTGAATAAAAAAACAATTTGGGCAAAAAATAATTTGAATAAAATGAATAATAATAGTAATTTGAAGCAAATAAAAGCAAATAAAAATGAAATTTGGATTATGAATAGAAACCATGCATTAATATTAAATCAAAAAATAACAATAAATAAACAAACAAATAAATAGCTTTTATTGCAAAATAATCAATTTTGTTCTTTTGGTGTTAATGATTGAATTGATCACACAAGCAATAGTCAATTTAAACAGCATTGTTTTTAAAGAATTTATTCAAAATATTTATTTTAAATGTATAAAGTTTAATGATTTTCTTTAATGCAAATTTTTTTGATACATCAATCTTGGTCCATATTTATATACTTTAAAGTTTCTTTATTTCTTTTTTTGATAAATAATAAATTTATCCTTTGTTTATTTGTTTAGAAAAATTAAAATAATTTATAGGGCCTAGTACTAGGCCACAAACCATATAGTCAACCCCGTTATTTCCGTTTAAAATTAGTATTTAGGTTTAACAAATTTGGTTTAATGAGATGGATTTACTGTTTCTTTGGTTTAACAGGGTTGACTACACAGTTGTGTATTTTATTATGTTAAAAAAAATTTTTTTCTAAAATAAAAAAATCTGTTTTACTGTTTCAGTATATATATAATTAACACAAAATAACAATTT